CCCACTCATTCCCCTTTTTTTTGCCTTCTTCACTCTGAGGATAACTGGAGGATGTAAGGGCAATCTGGTTGTAGTATCTGTTACTTCCTTGATCACCAGGTTGATCTGTGTGGCTGCATGGATATCCCCTTCGTCACTGCTTCACGTGTGTCCCTTCAAAACCGTGTGCTTGGTTGAAGAGGGCAACCTCTCCCAATAAGAGGAGGACCTCTTCCTCAGTCCGAGATGTAAAGTAGCTGTGCTTCCCAGATAGAACCTTGAAACAAGCTCCCAAAGGTTGCTTGGGTTTTACATACTTGTCAGCTTTCCCTCTTTCTCATTAGGCTAGAAAAGAAGGTAACATTTCATTGTCTGGTGCAGTTTATATAAAATCCCTGTCAGCCTTTTCAGAATATTAATAACCCTTTGTGTCAAGAAGGGACCTGGCAGCAAAATTATCCGTGCAGATACTGGAATTGCAGGCCACAGACCCCCAGGCAGGAGCCAGTCCGCAGCTGAGGATTTGGATGGAGTTTTCCACTTTGTGATTCTAGTTTTCTTATAGGTGTTACAAAACTGCTCATTGGCAAGGTCTCAAAAGAGTGAGAATTGAGGAAAAAAAATGTCTTCAGAAGAATGCATTAGGTCCACTAATATGTGGAAGGTGAATGTCTACTGTCTTGTTTTCACTTCCGAAGTCTTCCTGGAGCAGCTTTCTGACCTCCCACCATTTTTACCTTAGTCTGCATTGAGCTTTACTAATAGGGACAGCCTTCTCATTTAATTCATTTAATTTGTTCTTTTCAGTGCTTGCTGGCACAAACTTTGCCCTTTTCTTTTCTTTAAAAAATGAGGAGCACTAAGAAAAATGCCTGTTACTTTGGATCTTACTTTCCTCAGGCCTTGTGATTCCCTGGCAGGCAACTCACAATGGAGTTACATTTGAATAATTAACACCCAGGAGTGTCCTGCTTTTCCATGAGTGAGTGAATTAAAGTGAGACTAAAGCAAATGGCTTGGAAAAACAATTTTGGGAAATCACCATTTTACATGGAGAAAAAGAACAAATGGAAATAGACTAAAATGTTTGTCTTTAGACAGAAAAACTATGAGTAAAACATGTTTGCGTTGTTCTGTGATCACTTCATTTTCTACAATGAGTATATATTGCTTTTATAATAAGGATTTAAAAATGTTACTTTAGGGGCTGGGGATTTAGCTCAGCGGCATAAGCGCCTACCTTGCAAGCAGGTAGTCATGAGTTCAATCCCCAGTACCGATAAAAAGGAAAAAGACCAAAAAAAAAAAAAAAAAAAAAGTTACTTTAAGTAACTGATTAGCGTGGTGGTGCACGCCTGTAATTCTGGTACTTAGGCGACTGAAGCAAGTAGATCATGAATTCAACACCAGTCTGGGCTACATAATGAGACACTGTCTTTAAAAAGTAAACCAAAGAATATATGCTTATGAAGCTGAGAAGGTATGAAAACAAAAGGTAACCCTTCCACTCAAGTCGTTAGTCTTAGTTGAGGCAACTATAGGGCCTTTGGGAGGCTGAGGCAGGAGAATCAAGAATTCAAGTCTAGGCTAGGCTGCCTAGTGAGACCTTGTTTAACCTCCTCCCCAAAGCCAGGTGTGGTGGCACATTCCTGTAATCTCAACATTTGGGAGGCTAAGGCAGTAGGATTGTTGTAAGTTCGAGACCAACCTGGGCTACAAAGTGAGCACAAGGCCAGCCTGAATTTTATTATGGAGACCCTGTCTCAAAAAGACAGAAAAACAAAAACAAAAAACAACCAAAAAAGCCCTCCTCCCCCAGTAAAACCCCTGGTAAATAGTAAAATTCAAATGAGAAGCAGCCAGTTTGTTGTGTGATTAAGAAGCACAACTGTGATGGATGTGATGGTATATGCTTATAATCTCAGCATACTGACAGATTGAAGCAGGAGAATCAATTGCAAATTCAAGCCCAGCCCCGACTCTTTAGCAAGATCCTATCTCTTTTTTTCTCTCTCTTTTTTTTTTTTTTTTTTTTTTGTCTTTTTCGTTTTTATTGGTATCAGGGGTCGAACTCACGACCACACACTTGCAAGGCAGGTGCTTATGCCGCTGAGCTAAATCCCCAGCCCCAAGATCCTATCTTAAAACAAATTTTAAAAGGCTAGGGGTAACTCAATGCAAAGACCCTGGGTTCAGGGTCTGGGTTCAGTCCCCAGCTATCTAAAAATAAATGGGGTCACAAAATAAAGGGGGTCACAAAATGAGTAGATTCGAGTTAGGTCAGTGTTTTGTTTTGTTTTTAGTGCTTGGAATTGAACCCAGGGCCTCACAGATGCTAGGCATGTACTTTACCACTGTACTGTATACCCCTGAGTTTTGAGTTTGGATCTTTTTCTGGACTAATAATTTGCAGTATTCTCTTGCCATGCAGGGCAGAGGCAGCAGGCCACAGCTTCTAGTGAGCCATATGACCATGCAAGTTGATAGCTGATACTCTACAGTGTGCTACATTGCTAAGCTATGTCATTGAGTGAATTCATTGTATTAAGTGCAGTTTCAACTGACATGTGTTTACAATTTACAGTGAGTTTACTAGAATATAAACCTGTCATTAGTCAAGCATCTACAGTAGACTAATACCTTTTATTACTACTGGAGATTAAGCCCAGAATTTGCACTGAGCTGTATTCCTGGTCTATATCCCTGCCTGTCTTGTCTATCTATCGAGACAGTGTCTTGTTATAAAACTCAGGTTGGCCTTGAACTCACTATGTAATCCAGGCTGGCCTTGAACTCACAGTAATCCTTCTGCCTCAGCCTCCCAAGTGCTGGCATTATAGGTGTATGGCACCAAACCTGGTTTATTTTTCTTTTTCTTGAGACAGGGTTTTGCTAAATTCTCAACTGGTTTTAAACTGGTGATCCTCCTGCCTCAGCATCCTGAGTATCGTAGATTACAAGCATATGCCATCACATCTGGCACATGCTTGTAATGTGTTTGTGTGTATGTGTTGCTGGGACTCAAACTCAGGGCTCTCCACATGCTAATCAAATAGAGTACTCTGTTGCTGAAACACTTCCCTACTTACATATTTTGAAGGTTTCTTTTCTTTTTTTGGGGGGGTGGTACTGGTGATCGAACTCATAGCCTCATGTTTGTCAGGCCGATGCTTATACCGCTGAGCTAAATCCCTGCCCTTGAAGGTTTTCTTGATTCCCATCAGTTAGGATGATTTTTTGCAGGGGTGAGGGGTGGGAGGCAGTCTTCTTGAAGTTCAGTCTCTATGCAGTTCAGGCTGGACTTGAACTCCCTTTGTAGCCCATGCTGGCCTCAGACTCACAGCCATCTTCCTGCCTCCACCTCCTCAATGCTGGGTTTATAGGCACATGCTACCATGAGTTAGAAATAATTACCTCTTAGCTCTCATTTTACAAATTATTGTCCTAGGATTCATATTCTAGTAAGCTCTTAAAAGGTAAGGATCTCCTTTAAATCTTTCATAGTGGTTTTTCACTGCTACTAGTAGGTCCCCAGTAAATAGCTGTTGAATGGTTAATTAGCATTTTTCCTGATGGCAAAAGGGATGAACCCAGAGCTTTGAAGTCACTTGCCTGTGAAACCCAGTGCTTGCAGCCTTGCCCCATGGATTCTAGCTAGTTACTCTCTACCTGTCTCCCTCCAACTTTGCTCCTCTCTCAGTTTATTAGTCTGCTCCCTCTCTGTATTGTTTGTCTCTTGTTATGTAACACATAACCCCAAAACAGAATTATCTCATGGTTTCTGTGGGTGAGGATTTGTGCACTTAAATTATGGTTCAAGACTGTAGTCTTGAAGCAGAAATTGTAATGCCTTTGTGCTGTAGCTTAGGAAATCACATGTTGTTCCTTCTACTATATTCTGTTTCATGGGTCTTCCTGATTTATTTGGGTAGAAAATTATACACAAATGTGAATATCAGAGGAGTTAGGGATCATTGGACTCAATAGAAGGCCATCTTGGAGGCTGCTGATTCTCCAGTAAAGTTTAGTGAGCTGGCCTTGTTTCATTTCCCTCTTCATTTCTGTTGCCATTCCTAATTCAAGCCCTTATTCTACAACATTACTTTTCAATTTTTTATGGCTCCCAATCTACTCCATAGTGTGTGTGTGTGTGTGTGTGTGTGTGTGTGTGTGTGTGTGTGTGTTGAGACAAGGTCTTGCTATGTAGTTCAGTCTGGCCTTGGACTTACTATGTAGCAGAGGCTGGCCTCGAACTCACAGTGATCCTCTTGCCTCAGCCTCCCATGTGCTAGGATTATCAGTGTGCTTCAAATTGTTGATTCCAGCAGCATAGTTCTGAATGTTCCTTACTAAGCATCTTCTGTAATTAAGATTTACACAGTCCTTGAGGGCAAGCACTACAGTGTTAATTATTTGTAGTTTCATAAAAATATGACCACAAACTTAGTGGGCTAACAAAACACAGTTATCATCTCTGAGGTATAGGTTGTCTGGATCCTCTGGGAGGATGCCATCACAGTGTCACTCAGGCTCGCCGTTCACTGACTGCATTGGGAGGGATCTGGCTCTGTGGTAATGTGGTTGTTGACAGCATTAGGTTCCTTGCAGATTGGTAGACTGAGGGTCTCAGTTTCTTTCTATCTTTCAGTGGGAGGCTGCCCTTAGTTCTCTGCTGTGTGGCTCTCTCATAACACGTCATCTGGCTTCTTCAAAGCTAGGATAGAGTGTTTCTCAGTAAGACAGATTTTAAAGTATTAGACCATGTAACTGTGCAGGTACTCATGTTCAAGACAAGCCGTGGGTCCCACTTGGATTCAGTGGGAGGATTGTATAAGGCTGTGAATAGAGGAGGCAAAAATCAGGGAGGCTGCAGTAGAGTCTGCCTGCCTCTGCTTTGTGTCTTTAGCTCACTGAACAGTGCATGAGATGAGCATAAGTTCTGATATTTGAATGAACGAGGAGTGTGTCTATTAAATGTTTCTAATTCCTAGCCTTAAGCCTTCTTCTTCTTCTCTTTTCAGAATTACTGATTTGTTCTTGAGACAACTCTGCTCTTATCTGTACTCATGGATGAACTTCAGGATGTACAGCTCACAGAGATCAAACCACTTCTAAATGATAAGGTAAAGACTACTCTTTTTATTGCCATACAGACAAGTCTTTTCTTTTGCTGTAGGTTTTTTTTTTTTTTTTTTTTTTTTTTTTTTGTCTTTTTGAGACAGGGTCTTGCTGTGCAGTTCAGGCTGGCCTTGAGCTCACTTTGTAGCCCAGGCTGGTCTCAAACTCGCAACGATCCTCCACCACACCCGGCTTGTAGTTCATTTTCTATATAACCTGAATGGTAACTAACTCAAAACATTTAGCTTGATTTTCTTTCTTTTTTTTTTATTTTTATCGGTACCGGATCGAACTCACGACCACCTGCTTGCAAGGCAGGTGCTTATGCCGCTGAGCTAAATTCCCCAGGTCCTTGATTTTCAATAGAAGGAATACTTTTTTTTTTTTTTTTTTTTTTGGTGCTGGGAATTGGACTCACAAACTTGTGCTTGCCAGGCAGGCACTTTTTTTTTTTTTTTTTTTTAAGACTAGTCAAGTGCAGTAGTGAGAAGGGGGGAAAGAGTAGAACAAGGAGTTCAATCTGTATTGACTGTGAACAATCAATTGAGATAACTCACTACCTTCGGACCAGCCACAGGCAGGCACTTTTAATCCCCAGCCCAGAAGGAATACTTTTTAAAACTACATTTCTTATCTAGGCATGGTGGCACATGCCTATAATATCCAGCAGGTATTATACCCAACAGGAATCTAGGCTCATTGTGAAGGAAACTGAGACAGGAGGACTGCCTTGAGTTCAAGGCCAGCCTGGGCTACATAGTGAGTTTATGTAATATATACATATGTAATATATAATATATATTATATATGAATATATACATATGTAATATATGACATATAGTGATTATATATATAATATATATGATATAAAAGAGGGATAGGTTAATATATATATATATATATATATATATATATATATATACCATAACCCATCCCTCTTCTTTTTGTTCCTTTACTTTTGGTTCCATAGGTCAAATTTAGTCAAGTTAATTTTGAGACTTTCCTATTTTGCTGATAGAGATGTTAAGGAAAAAAATAACATGTAACAGTTAAGTAGAAAGTACCATAGCGACTTTTGCCTTAGAATCTAAGTACCTTTCAATTTGTACAAGGAAAATTTAACATGCATCACTAGTGATGCACAAAGGCTGAAACTCCATGAAGTTCTTAGATTTCATGATCACATTTCTTTCAACATGTTTTTCATCAGGATGCCTGGATCTCAATGATATACTTCATTTTTATGTTAGTATTAGAGAACTTTAAGATGAGTAGCAATTGGGCTGGGGATTTAGCTCAGCGGCGTAAGCGCCTGCCTTGTAAGCAAGCAGTCGTGAGTTCGATCCCTGGTACCAATAAAAAGGAAAAAGACAAAAAAAAAAAAAAAAAAAGATGAGTAGCAATAATTGACAGCCCCCAGGACTCAGTAACTAGGGTGGTGTGACATAAGATATCAAAAAGTTAGACAAGCTGATCTCTTTTGTCTCTCTCTGTTCAGCCAATGTGTTTTTGTTTTTTTTGTCTTTTTCCTTTTTCCTTTTTATCGGTACCAGGGATCGAACTCACGACTGCCTGCTTACAAGGCAGGCGCTTATGCCGCTGAGCTAAATCCCCAGCCCCCTGTTCAGCCAATGTGTTGAGAATTCCTTCTTTTATACCCCATTCTTTCGGCTTTATCATTTCCCCCTATTAAAATATTCTTTTTTTTTTTTTTTTTTTTTGTCTTTTTCGTTTTTATTGGTACCAGGGATCAGTCGAACTCACAACTGCCTACTTGCAAGGCAGGCGCTCATGCCGCTGAGCTATATCTCCAGCCCCTTCTTTTTCTTTTTAAAAATTTATTGAAAATAGAAATTCAAAGTCTTTACTTCTAGAATTACCAACAGATCACCTATGGATATACTCAAAATGTGCATCTCTCCCACTAAATGCCATCGCTTTCCCCCATTACTGAGCTTTGTCACATTAGTATTATCCAGAAGGTATGTGGAAGTGAATGGAATACATGTGTAGGACATTTGCTGAGAAGGAGGGCATGAGTTTTGTGCCCCTTGTCAGAGCCTAGATTCTTGTTGGGTATGTTGTAAACAGAGAAGCCATTCTGCAGGCCACTTGCTCAGAGCACACCCCATAAAATATTCTTGTATTGTTGTTGTGCGTGAGTCCACGGCTTCTAGGAAAAACTTGATGGATAAGGTGGGGGGGCCGAAGGCACCAGGAGATGCTATTGCATATTATCTTTTTCTGCTCAACTAAGCCTTTCACAACTTCCAGGTCTGCTGACTTCTCTGTGTTTACTATTTTGCTGTTGAGTTCTGCCAGCCCAATTTTTATCCCTGTGACTTCGTCATCTCTATTACTGTCTCTTCCTGCATCTCTCACAAAACTTCCTGCTCCTTTGGCAAGCTGCACTTTTTTTTTTTTTTTTTTTTTTTTTGGTCTTTTTTGTTTTTATCGGTACCAGGGATCGAACTCACAACTGCCTGCTTGCAAGGCAGGCACTTATGCTGATGAGCTAAATTGCACTTTTTATTTTGCTGATTTTCCTCATGTTTTCAGAAAACTTCCTCTTTGAAGCATCATCTTTTTGTTTATGTGAAGGGCTATTCCCAAAAATAATGTGCCATGAAGAGGAGAAAGGACAAAATCTACATCTGAAAACCTGGCGCAGAGCTGCAGAAATGAATGTTTACAAGACAGCTAATTTCCAGTGCCAAGCCAGAGTTGAGAACTGTGGACCACAGAGGCCGTGTATGTGTCCTGGCCCCGCTTCCGCTTCCATTCTGATTTAGTTGATATGGAGTGGGACCCAGGAATCTGTATTTTTAAACAGTGCTTCAAAGCCGGGCATGGTGGCTCACGCCTGTAATCCCAGCATTTGGGAGGCTGAGGCAGGAGGATTGTTTCGAGTTCGAGACCAGCCTGGACTACAAAGTGAGCTCAAGACCAGCGTGAACTGCATAGTGAGACCCTGTCTCAAAAAGACAAAAAAAAAGGGGCTGGGGATTTAGCTCAGTGGCATAAGCACCTGCCTTGCAAGCAGGCGGTCATGAGTTCAATCCCCGGTACTGATAAAAATGAAAAAGACAAAAAAAAAAATTAAAAAAAAAAAGACGAAAAAAAAAACAATGCTTCAGCTGATTCTGATCAGGCTTAGGCTAGGTTCCTTCCTGAAGCTAAACTGCCTACTCTCACCTGCCTTGTAAATTAACTGATGTCTAACTAAATTAGTGTAGGGTGAGATTAAGCCTTTTATTTTTCCACAGTACTGGAAATTGAACCCAGAGTTCAAGTGCTCTACCACTGACCCCCAGCCTTTTTTATTTTTTTGAGACAAGGTCTTGTTAAGTATCTCAGGCTCACCTTGAATAATTTATCTTCCTGCCTCAGCCTCCTAAGTAGCTCCAGTATAGGCATGCCACATACCTATGTTGCTTAAGCTTTTAAAAAAGAAAAAAAAAAATTGTTTCAAGGGTAAGAAGTGGATCTAAAGTAATTCTGATTACCCAGTATAGGAAACCTGTAACTGATGGATTTCAGCTATTTGAGGACTGGATCATAAATAAGGGAACAGTCCTTCCCTGACCCTGAGAAGGTGCTAAATGAACGAATTGGAAGAGTTAATTATCTGGAAGGCAGCTGGAAAAGGAAGGATTAGTGGTTGTTCCCATGAAAAGAACCAAGTTAATGTTTGAGCCTCCTCTCTGAGATGTTGGACTGTGTCTTATGTATAACTGAATATTATGGACTGAATTGCATCCTCCCTCCCCATTTGTGTCAAAGCCCTATGCCCTGCAATGAGACCTTGTGGAGATAGAGCCTTTGTAGCAGTGATTAAAGTTGGGGCTGGGGATTTAGCTCAGCGGCATAAGCGCCTGCCTTGCAAGCAGGCAGTCATGAGTTTGATCCCCAGTACGGATATAAAAGAAAAAGACAAAAAAAAAAAAAAAGAAGAAGAAGAAGTGATTAAAGTGCAATAAGTTCATAAAAGCAGAGCCTAATACAGCAGGGTTGGTTGCCCGTCCCTACTACCACAGGAGGACGCAGGAGAAGGCAGCTGTCTGTAAGCCAGGAAGAGCACTGCCACGCTCTGCTACAATCTTTTTTTCTTTTTTATTTCTTTTTCGTTTTTATGGGTACCAGGGATCGAACTCAGGACTGCCTGCCTGCAAGGCAGGCGCTTATGCCGCTGAGCTAAATCCCCAGCCCCTCTGCTAGAATCTTGATGTTGAGCTTACCAGCTTTCAGGATAATGGAAGATACGTGTCTGTGTCTTTTAGGCCCGCCGGGGTATATTATTTTGTTATGGCAGCTCAAGTAGACAGATCCCAAGCAATGTCTCATTTCGTAACATCTGTCAGCTCCTTGCTGAAGCTGTGCTGTACCCACCAGCTTCCCACACTGCATCTTGTTCCTCTCTTTCCCTTAGACATACTCCTGTCCTAGCACTGTTCATGAGAACTTTCCGTATTCTAGTTAAACTAGTAGACAAGAGGCCTCCTTAGATGGTGGCATTCCCACACAAAGAATTACACTCCACTAGCTGTCCACTGTCCTCAGTATGTGAATGCTACTGTTATTGCCCAGCTTTTCATTTGTTATAAAATGTATAATAAGGAAAATGCCTCTCATCCATTATTTCATTTGATTCTCCTTACATGTTAATGAGGTAGGGGCAGAGGTAAATTTATCTCATATTGCTGATAAGTAAACTAAGAAAGGAAAGTAGCTTTCTCAGATGAGTATCAAAGAGTGCTTGCTATGTGGTAGGATTTCTTAGTCTTTTTTGATGTTTTAGGCCATATATATATATATATATATATGTTTTTTTTTGTAGTACCGGGGATTAAACTCACGACTGCGCACTTGCGAGGCAGGCGCTTATGCCGCTGTGCTAAATCCCCAGCCCCCCCCCCTTTTTTTTTGAATCAGGAATTGAACTCAGAATCTTGTGTTTGCCAGGCCACTGAGCAATATCCCTGGACACCACATATTTTTTTATTTTTGAGACATGTAACCCCAGACTGACCTTGAACTCGCAGTAATCCTCTTGCCTCAGCTTCCCAAGTGCTGAGATTACAAATGTGTGCCACTATAATTTTTGTGGGACACTGTTCCCTTGCATTGTAGGATATTTTGTAGCATCCTTGGCTTTCTCCTCTCTAGGAGCACTTCTGGTGGTAGCTACTAAAATATCTCCAGATGTTGATGAGAACCATTGACATAAGAGAAAAGCCTTAAAAGTTAAATAGGAGGGGCTGGGGATTTAGCTCAGCGGCATAAGCGCCTGCCTTGCAAGCAGGCAGTCGAGTTCGATCCCCAGTACCGATAAAAAGGAAAAAGACAAAAAAAAAGTTAAATAGGAATAGATACTGAAGAGTTTGGTAGTGATTTTTGTTTTCTTTCTTTTTATGCCTATTCTGCTATTACTTGTTTATTAAACACCTTTTATGTGCCACATGTCTCACATACATTTCTTTATTAATTCTCAGAGTATCCCTTTGAAGTAGGTAGTATTATTCTTCACTTGGCAGATGAAAAACCTTACTAAAAGGCTGATCCCTGTCTGAGAGTGGCAGAGATGGAACTGAAACCCAAACATTTTCTACTCTTAAAACCTTGAGACTTTAGTGGCACAGTGCCTGCTTGGCCAGTGCTAGGTTGTGAGTTTGATTTCCAGTTCAAAAAAGGGCCACGGATATAGTTCAACAACAAGCACCTGCCTGACCAAGTGCAAGGTTCTGAGTTTGATTCTCCATTCCAAAAAACAAACAGACAGACAAAAAATACCCAAACAAACAAAAGACTTTACCACTGAGACTTGCCCACTGTGCTGACCCTGTTTTGGCATGACTTCTATGGAATGGCTTGTCTCTTTAAAGGAGAAACCTAGAGATATATATTATTTTGCCCCACCTTTCTGTCCATTATCCTTGTAAATACATTGTTAGCCAAAGATCCTGCTGTACCCTTGCAGGCTTCAGAAATCTATAGGAGGTCTAGACCCAAACTATTGCAGAGAAATTTGTCCTGAGATGACTAAGGAAACATTCTTAATATAGCTTTAAGTGAGACCTGTGTTAACTTGTCTCTTGTCATTTGTTGGTATTTTTCCCATTTTATTTTAGTATGCCTATAATTTTGTCTACAGCTCAGAATTGTCAAGAAGTGGGTGATTTTGCCTGCTTATTTTGGCTCCAGTGATGAAAAGAAGCAACCACCAGTACTTGTTTGAAGATAGAAATTGCATAGATGTATAAATGAATTGTTTAAAATAGCATCGAGCCATTCTTAGAGTAGGTTTAACCATTCTGGGAGATCTCCTAACCTCTTAAAAGTAGTGAAGGCATTTTTAAGATGAGGCTCCACTTTGTAGTGAGGCTTACAAAAGTTAGGTGATTTGTCCAAAGCTAGAGTCTGATAGGTGGTAGAGCCAGGACTAGAACCTACATTGACTTTGTTCTCTTTCAGAGGTTTAGGGCCCTTCCCCCATACTGTCTCTTACTGTTGCTTGTTCCAGCTTCCTCACTCAGCAGGCTAGGAACAAGCAGGGAGCTGACCATGCTTCATTCATTTTCCCGTCCTTCCTCTGTCACTGTTTAGGTACAACCAAATCTGATGAAAGCCAGTTGTAAAAAAACAAGTAGGTCACAATAAGCTTCTGAAAAATTGAGAAAAAAAGCAGGAAAAGGAATAAATACCTTTAGTGGACAGACTAGAAACAAGTTACTTTATTTTGGTTGTTACAGAAAAAGTGAGGGAAACCAAAGTGCCACTTAAGGCTTCCCTTACTAATGACCAGACATGAAAGCAGAGAAATGGGAGGAGGATATTACTTGGGATCAGCATTTCTTGTAATCTGCAGGATAGCAGAGACTGAAGGATTTGTGCCAAGGTCACTTAAAAAAATGAAACTAAAGAACCTAGCTCAGTGGTAGCATACCTGCCTGAGGACTTGCAGGAGGTCTTGGGTTCAATCCCCCAAACCACAGAGTTATAGCAATATTTATAATTAACAACAGATTTATTGACATTTTCATCAGAGGATATTTGCAAAATGCTACATAGGGGGTGGACTACAATGTGCTTAGAGGTGATTGTCACATCTATTGTCAGAATGACCTAAATGG